TATGTTATCGGGAAAACCACGGGGTTGGGTATTTTTCTGCCTGCAGTAGCGGAAGCATTAGCGCGAGGGGGAGACTGGACGGGAGGCAAAGTTCTACAGGAGTGGTTCCCCGACGTCGTGAAAGATCATGCGGATTGGCACGCAGTTGTCGGCCCTGAAGCTACAAGCCGTTCGACGTGGATGGAGAAAGGATACATTGAAATGCCCCTTCCATTGATTTGGTTCTTTCCTTTTCTGCCCTGGCATGAACTCCATGATATTCAGACCAATATGTGCGGAGCAAGCAGACTTGACTGAGGTCAACTTGTTCGGTCGAGCCATTCCGTAGGGTTGAATCTGCCGACCTTGACATACATTTACTTGTTTCCGGTCTCTACCTACTATTAGAATGTCCGCATGCATAACTCGTCTATCCCAGTCCAGTGTAAGCGAGTGCAGATGATTCAATTTGATAACCTCTCGAGGAATGCTGCAAGCTTGCCCTTCGGTTGACCCACATGAAATGCCCATGCATAACGAGTCATGAATCTGCGGATCCGGGAGTCCATCTCCTCCAGTCTCAGAGCGCGTTCTTCCTCGGTAGTACGGATAGAACTAGGACTTCTTGGGAGAGTACATTGCAGCTCAACCTCCCCGACCTTATGATTGTCGAAATCCATGGTGTCCTGAACAATTGTGAACTCATCGTCGGCGACCCAGCTTTGCCGAAATGTTGTAAAGGAAGCCAACTCCCGTAGTCCAAAGTTGGTGAGTTCAGTTTGGCTAATACCCGTAGAAAGTTTCAGGTGATGAGAGATTTCCTCTGGGTTGCGCATCTCCATGAACCTGGTATTCTGGAAATTTCCGCCATCTTTTATTTTGGCTTCCCAGTCACCGTCCCTCTTGCGGACCCAAATGCCTTTCGAGGATAGCAGGCCATCTAAATCGTAGTATGTATCGTGCATGGAGCGTAAACCCAAGTACCGCAGACTTGGGAATGGCGGGTGTCCTCCGGCAAGAGTCAATGGCTGCACAGCAAGTCGGCTGAACTTGCGTTCTACCTCTAGGGTGAGCAGCCTGAAGGGGGCCATCGAGGAGGGGGCGAAGAGACGACAAGGCGCAATCAAATGGTGGGCCAACGCAGCGTAGCTTAGGCCTATGTTTCCAGCGACCGGTGTGTCAATAGAATCACCTCATGCAAAGTAGTGGTCGCATCAAAAATCATGGTAGATGAATGCTGCCAGTCAAAGGGCCAGAGAGTATTGGCCGACTCCCGCCACAGAGATGGATTTGGGACCAAACATTGAGAAAAACAAGAAGCCAGGTCAATGATTCGTCACTTGATGAACCAACCTCCTCTCATCACGTGCCGAGTCTAGGCGTCGCTATGTCACAGGTATTACCTGCCAACCCAAGTAGGGATTAGCATCCTGGCTGGCGGTACTCACAATAGGAGCTCGACTAGTTCCGACATTGGTATCCTAGCATACGTATCGAAACCGAATTCGATCCAGTGAGTTTAGACCTGATCACACAGGAAGTTAATAGCCCATTTCCCCAAAAGGGAGTCAAGGAACCATCCCTATCTATTCACCAGAAGGGGAATAGCGTGGTGCAGGTCTTTCTCTAGAGACACAATTCCGCGGCAGTCTCGTCGGTTCCGGAATGCTGATTTAATGCTAGCTTGAGAACTTGGCTGGCCGAAGCGGAGGCCCCACTTCGAAGCGAACGCAACCCATAGGGGGTCTGTGGGGACAAGTGCCATTTGCCCATTGGGCGTCTTGCCAGTGGATGACTTTTCGGGCAGCAAACGGCCTGTCGTAACAGGTTGCCTTACAGATAATTTGGGCCAGCCCATAAGTTAGTTCAAATATCGCTTACCTCAATATGTGCGTACATTAGCAATGCCACTATCCGAAGCACGAGTGATCTTTCGCGATGTTGAATCATATCTCACGTAGGTAAGCTTGTTGGCAACATGATTCATGCACCCTGGGCGAGAGTTGCCTACTCCTCTATGTTCGGATTTCTATGGTGAACCGCTACTATTAGGATACTCCTTCGCCCTAGATGAAAGTTTTTTTCTTAAAAAATGGGTATCCCCTGTTTTGCATTACTTAAATCATCGCCACGTAGCCCCAAATGAGTTACATCTGCCTCCGGAGATCATTGGCACTGTACATCTTGACAGTGGAAAAAGCTATATTAGAACAGGGAAGATCATAGAGGCATTGGGTTAGCCTCTGATTTTTTTGCCTATTTGCTAACGGAATTCCTTAAATTGATGATTGACCAAAGCGTTGGAAATAATCCCGCGCTTTTCGAGAAAGATGTCGGAACTACTCTAGGGAAGACGCTTAGTAGTATGCCAGAAGCGCCGAGTGAAAGCGAGAGATACATTGTCGCTCAGCTGCAGAGTGGCTCGGATGCACCTGAAGCGAGTGGTCGTCCATTGACGTCAGATGTGGTCGTTGGCGGGGCTCAAATTAGCTTGCTAGATGACGGCTAAAACATGTCTAACAGATTGGAAAGTAGCATGCAGAAGGAGCACTCTCATATGACAGGAGACGATCGCTTAGCGTCATTCCTCGAAACTGAAATAAGGAAATGCGGCTCGAATGGCCTGCCCTCCCCGACGGAAGCTTCTTATACGGAAGGTATTGAAGCAGAAATGATGGGCTGCGCCGATCGTCTAAACATCAAAATCTGCCAGGATCTCTTTGCATTGGAAGTGCTGACGCACTGGTTCTGGTTCGAGATGCTATTCGACGTTGGCGATCAAGAAAAGCCTACCAGTAGATACAGCCCCTGCAGAATCTCTCAGAGACTGGGCTTTCACATTGATCGAAAGCGACGCACAAGACATCGCATATCGGATAGTATTGCACAGATACTACACCATGGCTCTCTTTCATAGGTGTAGCAGAGCCTCTGCACCGTCTACAAGTGGATTTCTCGCCATGAACAACAATGGGGACTGCCATAACAGACGACCTGGAAATTCTCTGTACAACTCGGAGGCTGATATGGCTAAAAGAATATTGAAAGAGGTTGCGCCAGGTTTTGAGCCAGAATCTCCGGTATACAAACACAAATTTGATCACATCCAGTCACGTCGGATTCGCGGCAAGGGGTATCACACATTGTCCACCCACTCCGGTCCAGGAATACTTGCTTTGATACCCTCCACGGATCAACTCGGTCAGAACCGGATAGGCTTATCCGAAAACGGGTAAGTCAAGCAAGGAATAACGGTAGCATGTCTTATCAATAGGAGAGTGGTGAGATTTTCAGTCATCCAGAAGATCTCTGCAATCTTAAGAAGCGTGTTTGGTCCATCGCCATGCCTCCCTCCTCCTACATGATATTCTTCGCTCCGGAGTTCTGGCTATGCGCAGGCATGAAAAGGAATAACAATGCAGGAACCGTAGAGATACCATAATTTTGAGCATCGTTTACAATGACTCAGGCTTGAGGTTCAAGCACCATCGTCTGCTATTAGCAGACTTTTTTCGTTACGTGATAGAAAAAATGCGTACAACCCGACTAATAACTATGCCTTCCCGTCGCTAACAAGACTTCGTGTCTTCTAAGGGCTTCATGAGCGGTGGTATCCACTTTATACATCACCATGATTTGCTGTGGAAGAGGGCGCGCACCTATCTTTTACCAAAAGCTTCGGAAATGTGCTGAACGTGTGATTCGACTTGGCAACGGAGGATAAAACTCATTCCTTTACTTCTGGGCAGATGGACTAGTCTTCCCATAGATAACAATAGCCATTAATCGATCATAAGCTGATTCTGGAATAGGAAATTAAGCATCCAAGTCTTCCTAACCACTCGAATAGGGATAGCGTGGTACGGCAGCCTTGCAGGTGAAACTACTGGCTCTCGAGAACGAAAACCCTCCGATAGGAAATGCGGCCAGCGAGAGCTAAGAACCGAGACACCGTGAACTCATTGAGCCGCTTGCCTATTAAGTGGATCCGGACAGTACAGCGTGTTGAAGTGCAATAAATTAGAAAACGCGGGCTTTGAACGGCGGGGTAACTATGGGCAATGTGCACCGACCGACGACGTGCACGAAATTGATAGCTAGTTGAATAAGCTAGCCAACAGTGTGCGTCGTACGCGATGAGTGAGAGATCTAGACCGGGTCACTAAGTAAAATGACCTAAACAGCTCTTATCCTCGAGGCTTCACTAGCGGGGTGAATTATCCCCGCATCTAGAACAGTGTTAAAACATAATTGGCTCCTCAGCTTCTGCCGGAGGTGTTGTAACGTCAAATGCGACTAAACTGAATAAGACGAACTCGTTGGGCTTAAGCGTAGGACTGATTCGCTTCCAGCCACGTACGGTATTCAATCCTCTTTCCCCTCTCACAACACAACTATTAAGTGGGCACATTAACCCATAACTCTCTTGCTTATATATCTGCAGCCATACGTATCACGCCAGGCTCTCATCCGCAGGACCTCCAAATTCCCACGAATTCGTGCAACATGGCCAGTGTCCGCAGCAAACTTATTGATTCTATCCAAGATCACTTGGGCGTTTCATTCGAGAATTCACCGCTAATTCACGAAGCTCCCATGGCTGCTGGCGCGGTTGGCAGAGATGGTAATAAGGATCTGGCTCTTATTGGAGATTCAGCCCTTCAACTTTTCCTACAATCGCAAGGTCGCGCTAGGCATGCAAGCCGCGGTACGCAACCAGCACTTCTGGAACAGATCTATTGTCCACTTTCTCTAATTTGACCTACGTTGTAGAGCAAATCAACCAAACCGTCTCCCGCATAGTCAGTAATATAAACCCTGCCCAGCTGGCGTTTGAACTGGGTCTTGATCGGTACATTTGCAAGGATCCCCCCTAGGGCAATTTTGTTCCTGACAAGCTGATGGCAACTACTGTTGAGGTTATTGCCGGTGCCGTCTTCCTAGAAACAAGCTGGGTTCGAGCAGCATTGCAGAGAATTGCGGATGCATTAGGCCTGGCGTGGCCAGATTCTTGAGCTGGGAAATTTCCATGCAAGGCTCGGATAATTACGGATCTCCTATCTTCCATTACGAATTAATGAGGCGCATATTGATACGCGCATTCTATGCGACATTCATTTTAGTCGCGGCAAACTCGGAGGCGCACATATATTGTGGCCTTTCTTGCAGTTTTCTTCTTTGGTTTCTACCTTTCGGGCGGCCCGTAGCTCATTATCTCATCTATGTGTTAAGAGCTTACACCTCACCCACGGGTAACGGGGACAATCTTGATGTTCCTCTGTTTCAAATGCTGTACTATAGAGGCTCCAATTATGCTCGATCCCTCGGCGTTTCGAAGCAAAGCAAGTAGCAATCTGGCCTTCAGGTTATATGCACTTCAGCTAGATTTCAAGAAACCTAATTTCATATCTGTGTTGACCCAGCATGGCTACCCCTCATGAACCGAAAATCGAGACACTCGAAAAGATCATAGGCCATACCTTCTCCCTAAAACATTTGATACGTCTGGCTCGCACCTCAGCAGGTGCTAATCCGGACAACTACGATGGGAATAGGAAACTATCTCAACTGGGTGCCTCTCTGGTTGACTCTGTTCTGGCTATCATAGTATTCTTCATAGGTGGCACTAGAGGTAAGAAGACCGCGGCGCCTGGTCACTCAAACTTTTGGACAAACTTATAGTGTTGTAGAGTGTACGGCAAATTTGAGAAAGGCTTTTCTGAACAAAGGCAAATACTATGCTGCCGCGAAGCGGACTGGTATCGACAACTGCATAGACTACGATAAGCGCACCGGGCCAGATTCGCCGGAGGTTCTTCGCAAAGCGATAAATGCCATTATAGCAGCCGTGTTTCTTGATACCTGGAACATCAAGTCAACAGTAGTTGTCATTCTAAGGTATGGCCTTATATCTGTTTAGCATGCAATTACTGTACTGAATCTGTTCGGTCAGGATTTTTTTCCAGGCGAGCGGCGACAGAATGTTTCAGGAACTCCCTTCTGTCTCACCTGCTACTGTGGAAGCTCTCGTATCTATTTCGAAGATGATACTAGCTCTCAACGCTGGGGTGATTAACCCTTCGGTGCTAATTATCGAGCGGTCCGCTACGACTCTTGAGGTCTCCCCAATGATACACAGGTTCCTGGAACAAGGCAGCAAAGATCCGCCTCTCTCATCAAACGCGGAGCGCATTGTGACGGAGAAGGAGTCAGTCACAGAGAACCTATCTCAATTTCTCCGAGAGGAAATATGGTCATCGGACGGAGACCTGAGCCGCAATGGAACTGAAACTGAAGCCGAGCATGACTCGATGGCGAGGATTTCGAATGGACCGAATGCTCCGTCAATACCAAAGGGGGGTCAGGTGGCACGCCGCCCGAGAGAACCCCACAATGACAGTGAAATATCCGTGGTAACACCTGCGTCGAAGAGAAGGCGCAGGGCTGCAAGCACTAATGTCTCCATCTTGCATGGTGAGGCTGCCCGGCAGATTCTCTTACAAGAGAGACAGCACTGTGCCGCTCAGAATATGTCTCCGCCCGAATATAGCTGTTTCTCCCCTGCTATAATGACAAAGGCCCTCCGGCTTGAGAAGGGCTCGCTCGGGAACCTTATCATCCTTTTGATAACAATTGCTAGTCCTCAATCGATAGTGGCTCTGCGCGAGATGATGTGCTGTGCGAGAGCTCAGAAGACGGTTGATTCGCATCGCCTGGCCGTGAACGTCACGAAGAGGCGAAGATATGAGATGATTAAAGAGCTCAACCAGAAAAATGCACTTCTTCGACTGCTCCGTTGGTATCACCTTCTCGAACTATTCGAGCAATGTGGTGGTTCTCGGACCCGTTACAGCATGGGATATGTAAACATGACATCTGCGGATTTCGAACATCCGAAACGGGGAGCAGGAAACCCTAGCAGGAAAGATGATGCTAAGATAGCGCAAGCGATGATGAAAGAGTTA